CGGCGACGAGGCGGCGACGTGGCGGCGACGGCGACCACATAGCCGCCAGACCGACGGGCACGCCCAGAAAGCGGGCGGCGACCAGGCGGCGACGAGGCGGCGACGGCGCCCACACGGCCGCCATACCTATGAGCAGGCCGAGCTCATCAGAAAAGTAGCGAGCACCCCTAAGTGCAAGCACTGTTCGGGGAACAAGCTTTAGATCCGAGAGAGCGTGATCCACCGCCAATATACTGTGGAAAATTCCCCCCCCTCTTCCTCCGGAGCCCGGGGGTCCCCGCCCCCCTCCGAAAATCCCCCCCCCTTCCCCCGGCATCCCCCCCTCTCCCCTAAACCCCCCCCCTCCGGAAAACCGGGGGGGGGTGCACTGCCGGTTCGAACTCCCCCCCCGTGTCCTCAGAAACCGAGGGGGGGGGGGGTCACTACCGGTTCGACCCCCCCCCCTTCCCCCTTTCCCCTCCGGAAAACCAGAGGGGTCACTACCGGTTCGAACCCCCGCCCTCTCCCTCGAAAACCGAGGGGGGGTACTACCGGTTCGAACCCCCCCCCTCGAAAACCGGGGGGGGTCACTACCAGTTCGAAACCCCCCGCCGCCACTCCCCCCACGCTCACCGCCAGCAAATTCCCGGTCCCTACCACCGTCCACACCACATCCCCAACTGCTGTCCCCAGCACCACTGTCCTCGCCACCAGTGTCCCCACTGGTTCCACCACCGTCCCACCAGTGCCCCCACCACTGTCGCACTGTCCCCACTGTCCCCACCACGTTCCCACCACGGTCCCACTCTCTCCCACTTTCTCCACGGCCCCAACCACTGCCCGACTGTCCCCACTGTCCCCACTGTCCCACTGTCTCCTCCGCTGTCCCACTGAGCTGTCCCACTGTTCCCACCACTGTCCCCACTGTCCCAACCACTGTACCCACTGTACATTGTCCCATTGTCCCACCGCCGTCCTCGCCACCGCCCTCACCACTGTCCCCACCACCCTGTACCCTCCACTGTCACACTGTTCCCACAACATTCCCACTGTCCCCACACCACTGTCACCACCACCACCGTCCCCACCACTGTCCCACTGTCCCCACTGCTCCCCCATTCTCCCCGGCCCGGCGGCGAAGGGGGGGGGGTTCGAACCGGTAGTGACCCCCCTCTGGTTCGGGGGGGGGGGGATTCGAACCGGTAGTGACCCCCCTGGTTTTCCGGAGGGGAGGGGGGGGGGGGTTCGAATTGGTAGTGACACCCCCCCCTTTTCATGGTGGACTGGGGGGGGGGAAGGGTTCGAACCAGTAGTGACCCCCCCCGGTTTTCCAGAGGGGGGGGGTCGAACCGGCAGTGACCCCCCCCCCGGTTTTCCGCCAGCAGCGGTAGAAGACGCTCTTTCGGAGATCCGAGCTTTGGTTAGCCCAAAAGGATGCCCAGCTGAAAGGAGGTGGTGCAATAGGTGTGGCGCACTTGAACTGCCAATGTACTGCGCCAGAAAATTGCTTTGCATTGTCAGAGTGAGGGGGCCGAACGGTCATTCACTGTCCCTGGGTGCGTGGCTGAAGTGGAATTCCGCGGTGCGGATTCTCATTGTTGTTGTTGTTGTTGTTGTTGGTGGTGGTGGTGGTGGTGGTGTTGTTGTTGTTGTTGTTGTTGTTGTAATTGTTGTTGTTGTTGTTGTTGTTGTTGTTGTTGTTGTTGTTGTTGTTGTTGTTGTTGTTGTTGTTGTTGTTGTTGTTGTTGTTGTTGTTGTTGTTGTTGTTGTTGTTGTTGTTGTTGTTGTTGTTGTTGTTGTTTGTTGTCGTCGTCCCACCCGCAACCCGCCCCGCGACCCACCCCGACCACCCGCGACCCACCCCGCGACCCACCCGCGACCCACCCGCGACCCACCCGCGACCCACCCGCGACCCACCCCGCGACCCACCCCGCGACCCACCCCGCGACCCACCCCGCGACCCACCCGCGACCCACCCCGCGACCCCCCCGCGGCCCACCCCGCGACCCGCGACCCACCCACCCACCCGCGACCCACCCGCGACCCACCCGCGACCCACCCCGCGACCCACCCGCGACCCACCCGCGACCCAAACCACGTTCAAGGTACAAACCACCATTTTCGGCGCCTGCGGCGGGTTTTTTTGCATTCCTTCCAGGTGGAGAGCCCGCGACCCACCCCGTGACCAACTCGCGACCAACCCGCGACCCAAACCACGTTCAGGGTACAAACCACATTTTTCGGCGCCTGCGGCGGGCATCTTTTGCATTCGCTTCAGGTGGAGAGCCCGCGGCCCACCCGCGACCACGTTCAGGGTACAAACCACATTTGTCGGCGCCTGCGGCGGGCATCTTTTGCATTCGTCCCCGGTGGAGAACCCGCGGCCCACCCGCGACCCAAATCACGTTCAGTGTACAAACCATTTTTGTTTTGCGCCTGCGGCGGGCTGCTTTTGCATTCCTTCCAGGTGGAGGTGGGGAGCCCGCGACCCACTCGCGACCTAAACCACGTTCACTGAACAAACCAATGCCGCACAAACGCGGCGGCGGATTTTCGCATGCCGCCTGAGCCCGCAAGGACCTCTTCAAGCCCCGCGCATCCACACCAGCCCGCCCAGCAACTCTGCCCTGGCGAGTTGCCTTAATCAAAAAAGGCGGGGAGCATAAAGTGGAAAAAAGGATTGCGTTGCAGTTATCTTGGGAAAGGAGGGGGAGGCAGGAGGAGTAAACAGGGGACGAGGAGAACGCGGAAGAAGAGAGGATGTAAGGAGAATGTGGAGAAAGAAAAGGAGGAGGAGCAGGAGGACGAGGAGGGGGAGGAGGGGGTGGAAGAGGACGAGGAGGGGGAGGAGGGCGAGGATGATGATGATGATGATGATGATGATGATGATGATGATGATGATGATGACGATGATGATGATGACGACGATGATGATGATGATGACGACAATGATGATGATGATGGACGACAATGGGAGGACGATGATGGAGGCCGATGAGGGGGAGGACGACAATTGGAGGACGATAATGAAAGGACGAGGGGGGGGAGAGGGAGGACGATGACGATGAGGACGAGGACGAGGACGAGGAGAAGGAGGAGGAGGAGGACAGCGTCATCGACAGGGAAGGTGGGGGCCACGAGGTCCGCCGGCTCGACGACGCCCGCGTCGCCCGCGCCCGCCCCCTCACTCTTATCCGCAATTGCGGGGTGCTACGTATTTCAACTAATTCATTGCACGCAGAAACCCAGAAATACATTTGCGCACCGGGATGTATTGTACGCCCCAAATCGATTGCAATCCCATAGATCTTTTGCACCAAAGATATTGCACCACCCTCTTTTCGCTGGACCCCTCTTGGGTCAACCAGAAGAGCGGATTGCTGGGATCGACGCTGGACTCCCCTCGTCGGCGCGCGCAAGGGGCGGCGCTGGAGGCGCCGCCAGGTAAGCCCCAGCGCCGATCCAAGAAATCTGCGTGAACCTCCCAAAGACTGTGTATGTGCAATCCCGCCAGCCCTTTGGGCGTGAGTGGTTTAGCGAGCTCTCTCTGTCCTCAACCCCCCATCTTCCCCTTCGGGGAGGGGTTTACCCCTCCCCCTACCCCCTCCCCCTGGACCTGGAGAGGGAGTTCCGAGTGGTGTCAAGGGGGTCTTATTCGACGCCTGGGAGGGCCAAAAAACGACGACCCTCACGAGGATTCTGGCCCCGAGGGGGGGGGGGGGGGAGTTTGGTGCATCAGCTCGTCTTTGAAGCAAAAATCATTGATTTTACCAGGGTTTCGGCCCCATTTTGGGCTTCTGAGGGGGCAGCGCTCATCGTCCTTCATAGCAAAATCATGGATGTTACGAAGGTTTTGGGCTCATTTTGTCCTCCTCAGGGGGCAGCGCTCACTTGCGCTTCTGAGGAGGTCGCAAGAGGCCCCAAGATGGCCCCAAGAGGCCCCCAGGAGGCTCCCAAGAGGCCTCCAAGAAGAGGCCCCCAAGAGGCCCCCAGGAGGCCCCAAGAGGCCCCCAAGAGGCCCCCAAGAGGCCCCCAAGAGGCCCCAAGAGGCCCCCAAGAGGCCCCCAAGAGGCCCCCAAGAGGCCCCCAAGAGGCCCCAAGAGGCTCCAAGAGGCCCCCAAGAGGCCCCACGAGGAGCCCGAACGACTCACACCAGGACGAGGGGCCCGAACGACTCACACCACGAAGAGCCCGAACGACTCACACCACAAGGAGGGGCCCGAACGACTCACACCAGGACGAGGCGCCCGAACGACTCACACCACGAGGAGCCCGAACGACTCACACCACGACGACGGGCCCCGAACGACTCACACCACGAGGAGCCGGAACGAGTCACACCAGGAGGAGGGGCCCGAACGACTCACACCAGGACGAGGGGCCCGAACAACTCACACCACGAGAAGCCCGAACGACTCACACCAGGACGAAGAGCCCGAACGACTCACACCACGAAGAGCCCGAACGACTCACACCAGGAAGAAGGGCCCGAACGACTCACACCAGGACGAGAAACCCCAAACGACTCAAACCACGAGGAGCGCTTTCTCTCCCTCCTCCTCCGCCTCGTCCTTCTCCCGCTCCCCCCACAAGGAGGATGTACAAGGAGGCGGGAGGAAGGAGGAACAGGGGAGATATGCGGGGCCAAGCGGACACACGCCTGAAAAACACGACTGTCGGCATGCTTCGCAAGAGTTGCTGCTGTGAGATGGGCTGGTGGGGATACGCGAAGCGTAAAGAATTTTCCCCCTCAGCCCTAAACCACTTGGAAAAGCAATGCAACGTTGGCAAGTCTCGTCGAAGACTCGTCCGAGGGGGGGTTCCCTGACGATAGTTTTTCGTCCCGGGTCCGTTTCTGACGGTCCCATGCCCCGAAAACAACAAACAAAACAAGGAAGGCAACGAGAACAAACAAGTCGACAATAAAAGTCGCATTACTCTTCTAAGGCAGTGTAGTGCGAGGTGGGCCCGTGCAGCAGCGAAGCGGGCCAATCATACTAGACGCCAACTAAGTTCCACGCAACGACGGCCGTCGCCGGAGGAGGCGTGGGCGGCGGAGAACACAGGAATCGGAACAAGCACGTGTCGGAATGCATGCAGTAGTGGTGCACCTGCGGCGCGCTTCTGTGCGCTGCCTCGCTACAACCCAGATCTCCGACGATATGACTTGTTCAACCAGCGGTTTTTACCCATTTCGGCCTCTGGGGTCTGTTATTCGGCCGCGGGACCATCAAAAATGGATTTGGTGCGAAAAGCTGGCCGTGGGGAAGCGGTCGGGACCTCTGAGGCCGCGGGTTGAAAAGAATCAGATCGGTGGATGTCACGGAATGCGACCCATGCCGTTTTTCTAGACGAACACAACCATCCCCACCCCGACTGAAGAAACCTTGGCCCTGCTGACAGACATTCCACTGCTGGGTGTGGATGGGTACCGTGTCCGTCGGGCTTCCTGTCACCCATCACCACCTGAAGAAGACACGCTGGGACGAGGACGGTGCTGACAAACGTGGCAATGGCTCTGTCCCAGCATGGGTGGAGGATGGTTCTAACAATGATGAGCTCTGCCCACGCCGCCGTCAAATCCTGGATCAACCTCTTCTCCCAATAACTTGTCCCTTATCCTCATGCATGGTCCAGCATACCGCGGGTTCAGAAACACTAGAGTTGATGAACCTGGAAGGAAACGGAAAGCGCGCGGTCAAACCGAAGCCTTGGACTTCGGGATGAGCATGCTACGACCACGAGCAAATAATGTCCGTACCAATCTCTCTCTCTCTCTCTCACACACACTCCTTCTCTCTCTCACTCTCTCTCTCTCTCTCTCTCTCTTTCGCGACACACACAACTCGGCAGCATGAAACGTAAGCACCCCCAGAAAATCGCAACAACTTGCACAATGTCGATTTGATGCACCAGCTACAAGAGCACTGCATATAACGTACCTATACGACCACCCTTCGGGTGATAAGAAGGTTCGGGGGGGAGGAACCAACGTCTCACTCGATCGGTATCACTATCGATATCACTATCGATATCACTATCGGTATCACTCGATCGATATCAGTCGATCGTTCTCAGAATCGATATCATCTGGCCTATGTCATTCGATCGATCCCACAATCGATATGACTATCGAACTCACAATCGATCTCACTATCGATATCTCGATCGATCTCACAATCGATCTCACATTCGTTATCACTATGGATCTCACTATCGATATCACAAGCGATCTCACAAGTAACGTCATCATCATCATCACCATCATCATCATCAGCATCATCACCATCAACAGCATCGCCATCAATGTCATCGAATAATCATCATCATCATCATCATCATCATCATCAGCATCATCATAATCATCATCATCATCATCATCATCATCATCATCATCATCATCATCATCATCATCATCATCATCATCATCATCATCATCATCATCATCATCATCATCATCATCATCATCATCATCATCATCATCATCATCGGGACACCCTCATGTTCATCATCACAGCATCACCATCAGCATCATCACCATCATCATCAACACCATCATCAACAAAACACCATCATCGTCACCATCATCATCAACATCATCATCGGGGCACCATCATCAACATCATCATCATCATCATCATCATCATCATCATCATCATCGGAACACCACCAACTTCATCATCATCCACATAACATCATCATGAATAACATCACGATCATCGGGGCGCCATCATCATCATAAGCAACATCATCATCATCAACATCATCACCATCGGGCCACCATCATCATCGCCACGGTCATCATCACCATCATCACCATTGGGAAACCATCACCATCATCAACATCAGCATCACCATCCCCACCATCATCGGGCCACAATCATCAAAATCCTCATCATCACCTCATCATCATACTCATCATCGACATCATCATCATCGGGACACCATCATCATCATCAACATCATCAGCATCATCATCGGGACACCAACGTCATCATCAACATCATCATCACCCTCATGATCATCAAAATCCGGACACCATCATCATCATCAACATCATCATCATCAGCATCACCATCATCATCTCATCATCTCATCATCAACTCACAATCACCAACACCATCAGGATCATCAACATCATCAGCATCATCATCGACACCGGGCCACCATCATCATCATCAACAACATCATCATCATCAACATCATCATCGGGACAGCATCATCAACACCACCATCACCATCATCATCGTCATCATCAGCATCATCATCATCATCAACATCGTCAACATAATCATCATCATCGGGACACCATCCTCATCGCCACCATCATCACCATCATCATCATCATCGTCAACGTCATCAACAACATCACCATCATAATCAGCAACATCGTCATCGGCATCACCATCATCATCATCACCATTAACATCATCATCATCATCATCATCATCGGGACACCGGCGGGACACCGGCGGGACACCGTGCGGCACCAGCCCCCGGAAAGGAAACATTTGGTCCGGCCACGCCTCAGCCAGAGGCGGGGCACCGGCGGGACACCGCGCGGCACCGGCCCCCAGACAGGAATCATTTGGCCCGGCCGCACCTCGGCCGCAGGAGACTTTCTTCTCGCCCGCCCACGCAGCTTCGCCTCGCCCGCACGCACGGCACGCACGAACACGAAACCGAAACCGTTTTCCGGTAGGGGGGCTCTCCGTTCCACTTCGATCTCACCCCCCAACCTCCGACCCAAGGCTGGCAAAATGGCAACACAAAAGAAATAGAAAGCTCCCCCTGTGGCCGAGAGGACGGATGTTCCTCCCTAGCGCGAGTTCCACGAAGCAACATGGGCAAACGACCCCCAACCGACGTATTCTGCATCGTTACACGTGGCGACGAGGACACTATAAGGGCCAGCGAAATAAGCCAAACTATCAAATTCTGAATTGAACAGGGAGCGGGGCCGAGCGGACGGGCGCGAGAGCATCGTGAGAACAAAAAGTGGAAGGCAGGGCTGGTGTGCAAACATGCCTCAACATAATCCTGCATGGACGATCAGCGCGTTACGGGCAGATGAAACACTGCCGCGAGGAGGGAGCCAATTGGAACATAGTGGAGATGTCTGCAGTTTTGCTGTCGGCCGCCTGTTTCATGTCACACCTCTGTTTTTCGCATGTTCCACTGACGCAGCCGCGCAGCCGCCGCTCTAATTGGGAAACGGGGATGGAAAGGGAGAGGAGGCGAGAGGAAGAGGAGGGGAGAGTAGGAGACGGGAGATGACAAGGGATATTTGAGCAGACCATAAGTCAGCATCGATGGTGCGATCGGGCTTCTTTTCGCTGCCGAGGGCGGAGCGCGGCCACGGCCTGCAGCCCTGCGCATGCAGCTCCCGGCGGGAGCAGAAGAATGATTCGGGCCTCGAGCCCGGCAGTATAAGATCGCTGATCTGTCTGCTGTATCTGCTGTGCTGAATGCCTGTGGATCTGCATCTGTTGAGTTATCTGTATGATGTCGCCTGCTGGCGGCTCGACATGAGGGGCCCCTGAAGCTGCCTCGAGCGAAGCGGCCACGCAACGGCACAAACCTGAGAGGGGCAACTGTACAAACTGAAACCGCAAAACGTCAAACACTGAACTCAGTAGTAAAAGCTGAAACGCACTCGGGGCCTCTCCAGGCTAAAGGGTGTCTAGCGGGAGTTTACAGACAAGGCTGGCATGCTAAAACAATTCCTGTGTCAGACTGGTCTCTCTCTTCTGTTGGCTGAAAACTCCTAGAGACGTCTGACGACAAACTGCAACCACACAAAAACTAAAGCTGACTCGGCACTGGCTCCGAACAGTTCGATGGCGGGCTCGCTAATCCACTGAACTAAACTGCGGCGCAACTGGTCGGACATGTTCGTGAGAAGTCTGCTAGCACGTTAGAAGAAGAACCCATCTCATCGAACCTAGACCGAGACTGGTCTGGATGGATAGAACATCGAGAAGCGCCCGCTTTTCGTCCAAGCTGGGGTTCTCTTTGGCGACACAGTCGCACAAACTCTTACAGTCCGTGATGGCGTAAAGCGGCACCGGGGGCGGCGTGCGATCAGCTATGCGGTTGGCTATGTACGATCGGCCTGTCAAGACCTCGGACAAAAACACAGTAGCGTAAAATCCGCGATCAACGGCTGCATCAGCGGCGCAGGCCTCCGCTGATAAAACTGACCTCACCTGGCGACGCGCCCGCACGCTCCTCCAGCCGGCCAACGATGCATGTGCTGAACCTGCGAGTGCGTCTCGATTGGCCCACACGATCATCGCTCCGGCCTGGCTCTTCATCTGCTGCGCGTTGGCCCAGCTCGACTCTCCATACGCAACCGCAATCACATCGATATCTCCGGAATCGTCTATCAATCGCAACGACATCACCGCAATCCCAACCTCTGGCGTGTTCTTCAGGTGCCCCATGGTTTTGCACGTCGCCTTAAGATCGGAGATCTGGGGGCCCTCGCTCTGCAACAACGATACATGCGACGAAACATCCGGACGGCATATACCCGAACGCCACTGACCGCTTCCGATAGAGCTCCGCATCTCGGTCCGTTCTGCGGACTTGAGGGACCCCCCCTCTCGGACGCGGCTGGCTGGGACGCGGCGAACCTCTAAACCTTTGACGCACTCTTTCTGAGTGATGACGACCCGGCCGTCGCTGCACTGGTTGATTTCATGCCCGCGCCACAAGAGCTCCCGAGGCAGAAACACGAGCTTGCCCCGCACGAAAACCTTCTCCAGCTGGGAGAAATCGAAACGGCTCTTGGCGTATACAGCGAACATGTCATCGACGCACCACAAAACGATGGCTAACAAGAGTCCCTTATCGAACTTCAGAAAACACACCACGTCCAGGCCATGGCTCACAAAACCCAAATCGCACATCTTTCGTCGAATGCGACGACACAAGACCAGTGGGGCATCGGCGAAACCGTAGATGCTGCCGGTCACTTCGCACAGCATGTCTGGCCAGGAGCCAGTGGCGATGACCAGTGGGTCACGCGGCGGAACGAGGTAGACCTCGTCTTCCCTCTCGCGGCTGCCCTGGAAGAAGCTGTTCTCGAGGTCGCCGACACCAGCGG